TGATGATGGGTGGTGGGGCATCAAAACCCATTAATGTCTAATCTGCTCCAGATCTATCCTCTGATCCCCAACTGTGACCTTGGCCAACCAATCCAAGAAATTGGTCAACTCCCAGCTTTACCAACAACATTCTTACACCTAATTGCTTTTTTGATGAACAGCAACATAAGAACCACACATAAATAAATTTTTGCCAAATTTCAAACAACTATGTATATCTATAATTTTCAAAATGTGTGTGTGTGATTGGATGTTTATACATTTCCACAGTTTTCATCCGATTTTGACAAATTTTTTTTGTTTGATAGATAATTCTTCAGTGCTGGCTTTGAGTCCAAATTGTTGGCAACAATGGCTCTCCACTACTTCCTGTCCATTATAACTCTCAGCAACGTTTTACTATTTACTATCTGTAATTGGACATATATCTTTCATAAAAACTTTAATAAAATTAGTTTAAATTATTACAATATTATTTAATATACAGTTCCCTTTTCAGCCGCTGCATCAAATTGATAATCTCCCATTTGGGGATGTGCCTCGGTTGCATCCAAATGCTGTTACTAATATTGATTTTTGGGTGGGCTGACTTTAAACTCAAACTGCTCCAATTGAATGGCAAAAATTCCCAGTAATGAAAGTCTCGACTGAAGATGGGTTATACTGCTAGTAATAAATATATATATATATATATATATATATGACAAATACATGCTGTTGAAAATTTAATCCTTGTTTGTTCCTTTCCTTTACAATCAAACGTTCGCTATAACACAAGATTCAATCATGTGACCAAACTAGATAATTACTCTATACTCAAGACTGATAACCTCTATACAAATTTATGAGGAGGGAAATCTTATACAAAGTTAGATTTCACTCAAGCCTATCAACAGTTACTGCTATATAAGGAATCATGAAAATTTACCACAAGTAATACCCATAGAAGACTATTTGTATATAATCATTCAACTTATGATTTAAAATCTGAACCAAGGATTTTCCAAAGGACAATGGAAAATATTTTACAAGGTATTCCAAATGTCACTGTCAGGATTGACAGGGTCAACCAGGAAAGCTCACTTATTAATGACGCCTAAATATAATTGTAGGCAAAAATTTTGAACAGTATATTTCATGCTAAGTGTACATGTAAACATTTCTGAGAATGGAATTTTTGTAACCTTAAACTTAATGTCTGTAATAAGGTGATGGACACCAACCACTGTGATTTCTAATACCTCAGCATCATTACCATCCAGCTCCAGATCTCCCTTATTTTAACCAATGTGACCCTATCTCATTGATACCAAAACTGACCAGAATCCAACAGAGACATCCCACTCAAACCACTCTAGGCCAGGTAGTTCAGGTTCAACATCTTAGCGTCGTATGACCACCAACCCATCAACACAATCACTGGTGTTTCAACCTCAAAGAAAGGCATGTGTCAAGCCTCATCAACAACTAATCTGCCCGGAGCTATCCTCTGATCTCAACTGTGATATCAGTCAACTAACACAAGAAAATGGTCAATTTCTGCCCTTACCAACAACACCCTTACACCTAATTCCTTTCCAGATGAACAGCAAACAAGGAACCACACATGAACAATTTTTGCCAAATTTCAAACAACTATGTTTATATTATATATATTTAATGAATACATGCTGTTGAAAATTTAATCCTTGTTTGTTCCTTTCCTTTACCACAAAATGTTTGTTATAACACAAGGTAAAGCATCTTCAATGATAATTAAAAAGTTGGGTCAAAGGCTCTATATGAAAATCCTACCTGCTCCTACCAACACACAGTGGGCTAGCACTGTAGGGTAATAACTCATTCACCTCCTATGGCTGAACACCACAGAATAGAAAAGATAGTGAGATCTGGGGAAGGCCTATGTTCAACAAACACTTCACATGTGGAAAAAAAAAGCCTAGCATATATGTGTAAGTTAAGGTTTATTACAATGATTAAAAGATGTTAATTTATTTTTATAAAAGGATCTTTTAAAGTTAAACTCACCACAAAAGTAAAAAAAAGACAGAAAAATGAAATAAAATAGAAATGGAAGAAAATAAATGATGAAGGAATGAAAAAAATATGTTGCTGCAGAAAAATCAAGAGCTTCATTATTGAGTTACAAGAGAGAAACCAAGGGAGTTAACTACTGCCCAATCTTACTGTGCTGAAAACATAGACAAGAAAATAAATCAGCTTCAGTGAGGCAACAAAAAATTATATTTAACTTTTTTTTATATGATGTTAGGGAAATAAGAGATATTTCTACAGAAGTCGAGCAAGGTATTTTTTTTCATGACTGTAAAAGAAAAGAATTTTGAAAGAAACATTTGAAATAAAAAAAAAAACAATGGAAAAATTTCCTGAACACATTGGACAAGAATAAGGTAAAAAAAGAGACAAGATTTGTTCCTTCAGATATATTTAATTCTGCTTTTGTTCTAAGCTTGATAAGCAAATCAGGTACAAAAAAAATCTTTCATTGCTCGATATTTGGGGTACATGACATCATTGACATCTCTGTGTCAATTTGAAGTTATGTTTTTATTTTGAGTGCATAAGTCATGTAAAGAAAATCTTTTTTTACAGTGATTTTTTTTTATTAAAATAACTTGCTTTTCTGCTTTTAATATGAAACTAGTATTGATATATGACAATGCTGCCCATTTTTCAGATCTTTAATGTCTATATTTGATATATTTAATGTACAAGAATAAGTTTTTAAATAAAGTCTATTATTAAACTGATCTTCCATATTTTATGTGATATCAATGTTAAAAGCCACAAAAGAATTTTTTATTTTTGCACCTCCATCAATAGAAAAGCTGAATGAAGAAGACAGTGTATTAGTTGATGTTGGGTAGAGAACAACGGAAAGAAGACAAAAAAGTTGACTGTACTTGAAAATACAAAATGAATTAACATCAAATAAAGATAGAATTTATTTTTGCATCATTTTTGGACTTGTGTAAATCTTCCTTCCATTTAAAAAAGGCTAAATTTATATAACTACTGGCTTAATCCTCTGAAAGTGTCCCAAACAGATTAATCTAACAACTGTATATAAATTTAGACATTATAAGTAGATATAAAAGGACACTGTCATATATAATCCTGGCATTTTTTTTAAATACTGTCAGTCATGATGAACGGATGTCACTTGATAGACTATTGGACCTTGACCTCAAGTGGAACTAGTACATAGCCATTGCTAAATATGCAGGTAAAATGGTTGACTCCCTGTACTGCTCCAGTAATTATCTAACTCTATTAAGCTATCTTGTACCTTTAAAAGAGCAAGATCAGGCCAAGAATCCTGTTGTCATATTTGGGCAGGAGCTGCACAGACCACACTTTCCAGCCTTGATAGAGTCCAAAAGTGGATGACAATTTATTTTCTCAATACTCTCTCTCTCACACAGGTGGGATATGACAAGCCTCTCACTGCTCTGTTGCTACTTTCACAGAAAGTGCTTGGATGAACTACATTCTTTGGTTCCATCAGGCCTAACCTTTATGGCTAGGACCTGCTACTTACATTGTAGCAAACAATCCTCATTCCCTCTGTATTACATTAGTGAGAAGCTCCACTCAAACAGCTTCTTCCCACAAACTGCTGCTCTACACAACCAACTCCCAAGAGGATGTTTTCCCAATCACTACAATCTTAACCTGTTTCAGTCTAGGTTGAACCATTACCTTCCATGACTGGTATATGATAACCCGAAACTGTGTAGATCACGGGAGAAATAAAAACTCTTTCACTTATCTCAACCACATCTTATTTCCATTTGTTGATTTGTCACTTGCACCTGTTTTTTCTTGTTAACATCAAAGCCACCATTACACACCCATTCAAAATCTCTTCTCTTACATAGGTGGGATCGTCCATTATAGGCATGAGAGTAGAATAAGCAATGATCAGGAATATTAACCAGGCCTATGTTTGTTGGTTACACTTAGTATGAGGCAGTAGGTAATGAAGATTGTTTTCATTGTTATTCAATAACTAAATTGATCACTTACCTCATCATTCATAAATGGATATTATTATTTTTAATATATGGCTGAAATCTTTAATTCAAGTTTTTATATAAACGTCTTTTCATGAATGATAAATTGGTAATTTATTCTACCCTGTGTAAAAGAGACTTTCTCGACTTATCAAAAAAGCCACATAAAAACACCGAAAGTTAATGGCCTGGCAAATTAGAAAAGAGGATCTTTTTTCATATCTATGCATATCTGGCACTGAACAACAGACAGCAAATATATGCTGTGTTTCTCTTGATAGAAGGTAAATTTAAATTTCTCAAATGCTTCCATGAAATATGATAAAGTGTAAACATAAGTTTAGGTAATTAAAGTAATTGGCCAAATCTGGTGAACAGATGAATGGGTCAGAGGTGAAAGGAATTTGTATGAACATGAAGATAAATCCCAGAATTATAATTAAGTTTTATTTCAACAGAAAAATTTGAAGCAAGTTCATTTTTGACAGAACTTGATTGGAAAACTTTTTTAAAATTTTTTTTAGCCCAAGATTTATTCAGATTTAGGAAAATATTCTCTTTGCCATTTTTTAAATTTTTATTTAACCAAAATATTTTAACCAATCCTTTCTACAAACTTCATCAGGTTTTCAACAAGATAAAAAGAGATAAAGGCCTGTGTGGCCAGTTGCTCTGAATAGTGTGACTTTTCTGTTTATCCTTTTCTGGTTTGCACCAACAAGTGAAAAAGACTCAGTCTCTTTTGATATGAATTATATATCATAATGTGGTCATAAAATAAATTAAAAAAGATATTAGTGTTTTTTTTATGGCCAGAATTTTTTGGAGATAATAATGATACACTCATACATGTCCTACTAACTTGTAGTTTGGGGAAGAAGTAGTAGATTGATAACTTTCCCATTCCATATCATTATCCATTACCCCCCCACACACACACACCACCACCACCACATATCCAAGCTTACAGCATCTGATATTCCCAAGTGGTCACTCATCTATGTATTGACCTGGCTCAATATTACTTAACTTTGGTGATCGAACAGGAAATGGTGTTTCAGCATAATATGGTTGTAAGCTCGACATGATATGATAGCCACAAAAACAACAATAAGTTCTGCAAACCAAATAGCTTATTGAATATGGACTCTCCTCAAAATTACAGAAAAAGCATGAAAAATATTATATAAACAACAGATTTTTTTATCTAACCATATTTCCCTTTTGCCAAAGTCACTTAAGTCAAAGTAACAGTAATATGACAAAAAGTTTACAAACTACGAATTCATGTTGATACACAAGAACAAATTCAAGCAAACGAATGTAGCGCTCTGAATTCAAGACAAGACATACTGGGACTGAGACATATGAAACTGAGAACTGGCATATTTTATTGGCTAGGAAGAAATCCCAGCATGCATTTGTGTGGTTTTGCCTACAAATTAGGGAGGGGAAAGTCTTTTGAGGTCATTTTCATAAGGATTGGAACTAACAAACATTGTTTTGAATTTTTCTCACTGAGAACTAAGTTAAAATTAAAACAGTCAAATGAAACATTGTACAGAGATGCTGTCTAATATAAAAGTCCATGTTCATCATCATCATTGTTTTCCAGACTGGGTGTAGTCATTGGGTCATTGCATAGCTGAGCTCCTGACCAACTCCCTCCATTATCTCTTTTTGTGCCAATGTCTGAGTCTTCAGGAATGATCTTCTAGTTCATTTGTTGATGTTGTCAGCTGATTTTTTACTATGTAAGAAGGTGGTGGAAAGATTCTTGGCTCTTATGACATCACTATACAATCTCAAGTTTGTCTTCTTCAAGGTGGTTACGAGGTTTTCCAACTTGATTTTTTTGTGCGATGTTTTCTTGTTCTGCATCATTTGCGATGCAATCAATATATTTTTAATTCTTGGATTCTTTACTATGGTTCTGTTGTTAATGTCGAAAACTCACAGATACACAGAAATACTGAGAATGTCAATTCACACAACCATTTCATCTGTGATTTCAGTCAGATGTGTTTTTTTTTTTTTTTTATTATTTCTGATATATGCTACTTACTGATGGACAGAGAATAATGGTCTGAGAAGTTACAATAAAAAGTGACCAAAATTAAGATAAAGGAAATACAAGCTGAAAAATGGATTAGTTAACAATACTTCCTATGATAATGAATTCAAGATAATATTGCTTCTAATATTACTAGTGGAAATAAAAAAAAATTGCCACAAATCAAATATTCAAGAAAAGAATGATGTTGATATGGTTAAATTTCACCTTTTAGAGCTGGCTTTCTTTTTGAACTACCCAGCAAGGCAGCTGTTGTGACAAAAAAGGGATGCAAATTTGAATCACATTGGAAGACTATTTTTCATTTCTGATTTACACTGCTTGCTGATAGTCCGAGAATAAAGACTTGAGAAATTGTGATTACCATAATTCCCCATGTATAATACACCTTCATCTATAATACGCACTTAAAATTGTACTGAAAGCGTGGGAAAATGCTTCTACTCATGCATAATATGCACTCCTTGTTTGGTAATCAAACCTTATAAATTGTACCTTTCCAATTTCATTACAGCCAGTGTTTCCTACTCTCATTAAAAAAATGGTTTAAACATAGAACGATATTATTTTAATTTAGTTTTATGATAATAATTCTTTTATTTTATATTTGTAAGTATTGTTAGGTACATATGATTGTATCTGACATCCTTATCGGGTCGCAATTACCAAATGTTAGTCTCAAATTGTCGCATGTTTGTGGTTAATAGTCATTTCCCAACTGAAATTGTCCTATGAAATGGTAATTTTTTAAAGACTTTTTTTGTAGCTATGCATAATATGCACCCTTAATTTTGCTTATTATTTTTTAGAAAAAAATGCAAATTATACATGGGGAATTACAGTAAAAGCAAATTAAGATAAAAGAAATATGAGTAGAAAAAAAATTAATAACAATAGGCAATAATATTATATATCATTTCATGGTATTTTTCACAGCTTGACAAAACAATGCAAAAATGTAGAAATTTATTGTGTCACATAATTACATGCATAGAGGAACACCCTCACATGATAATTGAGACTTTTTTATATTTTCCATTCATCAATATGTGCAGATAATATTAAGGTAAACACAACAATTTGTTGATTCTTGTGGTGGACAGGCAGGTAAGAAGTCCAAATCATGCCAAATTTACAAGATAGTCACAGAACAATATTCCTACCTGCCATTTCCTTATTTTCTTGAACAAATCTAAGGATAATAAATAACTACAAATGGAAAGAGAGCAAAAGATATATAATTCATACTCTATAATGTGATTAAATAATGGACAAATAGGAAAACCTTTATAAATTAAATTAACATGTTTTACTATTTAACTTAATCAGAAATTCCACTTCCAAAATTTCTGATGAAGCTAAATATATAATGAAACATGTTTGAGACAAATTTTCTCTTAATCATTCTATTGGATATAATCCATATCTTCAACTCACCCCATATTTTGAGATAACATCACTAAGTCTGTAGCCTAATAATAAAATAAACAGAAAACATTGTCCCCCCCCCCCAATATTTATTTTTCAACATATCGTTTGTGTCAATGCATTTAATTCAATAGTGAATATTTAATACACTGAAGGAATTATATAGATAAAATTTAAGGAAAAATGACATATATATATATATATATATATATATATATATATATATAAAAATATTAAAAAATTGAAATCTTCAGACACACTGAGTTGTATATTAATATTCCTTTGTTTTTATTATTATTTCATTTAGATTTCTCGACTAGTTTCGGCCAACATGGCCATCATCAGGAGAAAAATAATTTTCTGCTTGCTGGTAGCAGTGAACTACAGAAATATATATATATATATATATATATATATATATATATTATGTAAATTAAATTCCAAAAAATGTTTTTAAATTCACATACTCACCTTGGTTTTAACTACCTCACCTGATTTCATTTAATATTAATACAACACTCATCCATACAGAGAAACATTTATAATCATTCTTTTAAGTTGTAGGTTCATATAGGCATGCTTGTATATTTTTCAATGTTTTATATGCTACCCATTTAAGAATCATGCTTTATTCTCATATTTTACTTTACCATTGCTGATAAAATCATTATCTCCTGAATAATATATTTTCTTCAAAGATTCCAAGGTAGAAAGCAAAAATTGAGCTTATATATTCTTGTTGTGTTGAATGTCCAGCCTTGAATCAAATTATCGAGCCAACAATTGGTATTAAAGCAGTTTCAGATGCCAGAGTATCTTTTGCTGCTAAGTGGAATCATTTGAAACCTAAGAATAGAAAGTAATCAGAAGAATATCAAGAAAAAAAAAAAAGAAATTATATTGGGGATGGGAGGGGTGAAATAACTGGAAGAATCACTGAATAAGAATATTGAATAAAGGAGTGGAAAGTAAAAATAAGAGTAAGAATAAAAACAGAGAGAAGAGAAAGAAAGGAAGAAGGAATGAGAAGATAATGAAGGAAAGAAGGAATGAGAATAGAATGACTGGGATTAGGAATGAGAAGAGAAAGAAAGAAAAGTATGAAGAAATGAGAAAAGAATGAAGAGAAGAAGGAATGAGAAGAGAAAAAAGGGAAGAGGGAATGAGAAGAGAAAGAAGGGAAGAGGGAATGAGAAGAAAAAGAAGGGAAGAGGGAATGAGAAGAAAAAGAAGGGAAGAGGGAATGAGAAGAGAAAGAAGGGAAGAGGGAATGAGAAGAGAAAGAAGGGAAGAGGGAATGAGAAGAGAAAAAGAAGGAAGAGGAATGAGAAGAAAAAAGGAAGAGGGAATGAGAAGAGAAAGAAGTGAAGAGGGAATGAGAAGTAAAAGAATTGAAGGAATGAAGAGAATGAAGGGATGAAAAAATTAGAAGAGAACGAAGAGGAGAAGGAATAAGAAGAGAAAGAAGGGAATGAGAAGATAAAGATGGAAAGAGGGAGTGGAAGATAAAGATGGGAAGAGGGAGTGAGAAGAGAAAGATGGAAAGAGGGAGTGAGAAGAGAAAGATGGAAAGAGGGAGTGAGAAGAGAAAGAAGGGAAGAGGGAATGAGAAGAGAAAGAAGGGAAGAGGGAATAAGAAGAGAAAGAAGGGAAGAGGGAATAAGAAGAGAAAGAAGGGAAGAGGGGAAGAGAAAGACGGGAAGAGGGAATAAGAAGAGAAAGACGGGAAGAGGGAATGAGAAGAGAAAGATGGGAAGAGGGAATGAGAAGAGAAAGAAGGGAAGAGGGAATGAGAAGAGAAAGAATGGAAGAGGGAATAAGAAAAGAAAGATGGGAAGAGGGAATAGGAAGAGGGAATAAGAAGAGAAAGAAGGGAAGAGGGAATGAGAAGAGAAAGAAGAGAGGTGGGAATGAGAAGTGAAAGAATAGAAGGAATGAGAAGAGAATGAACGGATGAAAAATTAAAAGAGAATGCAGGAGTGAAAGAATCAGAAGGGAATGAAGAGGTGAAGGAATGGGAAGAGAATGAAGGAAAGAAGTAATGAGAATAGAATGACTGGGAGAAGGAATGAGAATAGAAAAGAAGGGAAGAAAGAATGAAAACAGAAAGAACACAAGAAGTAAAAATTCAAACAAAAGGGAAAGAGAAAAGAAGAAAATGAGATAAGAAAAAAATGTCTCAAAAAGAAGAATGAAGAAAGCAGAGAAAGAAAGGAAGACAAAAAGATAAAAATGAATGGTAGCAAATCAAAGAGAAGAAAGAGATAAGTACATAAAGGGAGAAAAATATTGATTATATAAGAAAAATTACAAGAACACAAAGAAAAGATTTTTTATAAGGAAGATGGAAATAAAGAAAAATTTAGATAAAGAAGGGATTAAAAAAAAATGAAGAAGATAAGGAAATTAAAGACAATGAGAGAAGATGAAAGACGCAAGAAAAGATAAAAAGTAAGCTAAATAAAGCATGAGAAAATGAAAGAAAAAGAGAAAATATTAAAACAGAAGTTAACAAAAGAGAAAATAATGAAGCATAAAAAGTGTTGAAATACAGCGAACAAAGAAAAAAAGAAACGACCAAGTAAAGGAGCAAAAATGATTAAGACTGAAAGAGATAATGAAAAAAAAAGATGAAGGAGAATAAAAAGAAGGATTAAAATGAAGGAATAAAAAGAAGGATAAAAAAAAATGAAGAAAAGTATATCTGAGCAATCTCAATGCCAAATCCTTTAAAGCCATCAATAGCAAATGCTAAAAATTGATTTCCACAATAGCAACAATAAAAGGCCAGAAATATTTCCTTGCAATCAGGAAATAGCAAAATCCAACAATCGAAATTCATGTAGATATTTATTCGCAGGAACAATTAAAGCATGTTCTACCCACCCCCAATCTTTCTTTCGTCATTCTCCACAACTTCTCTTTTATAACTATCAAAATTAAATTGAATTCTCAGCATTATTACAACTCTGATAGAAAATCCCCTACACTAAAACATTACGTTCATCCTCTCCCCATTACACCGATACCAACAATATAATCATTGATATTATTTCTTAAAATCACCATTCTTAAATGATTTACTTTGACTATTATTCTCATCTTTTATGAGGTTCATTCACTATGTTTCAATTGTTCATATCGACAAACTTCCTCAGGTAAATCTGTCATGTTGCTACATATTTTGTTCAACATTGTGTTCACAAAAAGCAGGTTTTTGAAAATTTGATACTCATCAAACAGAATGTAGGCAAGAAGGATAGAGGCAAACAGTGCCTAACCTGTCAAGGAAGCTTGAGTAAATGGTTGAGAGAACAAGGTTTTGGAGTGATAACAAAAACACAAAATTTGTCAAGAGTTACAAAAGACAGGAAATCGTGGAGAGCCATGATCACCTATGTCCTGAAATAACATAGCACATAGAAGATGTCATCATTATCTGCTGAGCTGTCATTTCTCATTTCTATATTTAGCATCTTACTGCATAAAAGTCCAAACATATTTGCCTATTTTTTGTAAAGTCTGTAACCTTAATATCACTAGTGCAAGGAAGATAACTATGGGTTGGTGGATATTGTTGTAATCTAGGGAAGGCTACTGGATAGAATAATCAAATGAAGGTTGGTAATGAACGATAATACTCAGGACAAGAACAACACATATAAGACTCGCCAGTGGTGCGTGAAGGAAATAACCAACTGCTAGAAGTGAGTCAAGTGAATTCCACAATGAATCTCCAACTGTAGATCAACATAAAGTATTTAATAATGTATTTAAGTGAATGTGGACATAACCATTATTGTCTGTATGTATGCTATAACATATAATAAATGCAAATGTCAGTGTGTCACACTTTTTCAACTTTACTCACAGAAGCTGTAGCCTAATATATCATACCATTTTAGAATCAGGCCAACTTCATGTGGAAATTAAAAACATTCTGGGTCAGATGCAGACACACAATCCTGAAATTTTGGATTTCCAAGTTTGCATTACTGTAATTGTTTTTGACAAATTTTTATTTGATTTTTTGTGATTATTTTTTTTTTTTTTGATCATTTTTATAACTTGAAAATAAATTTGGGCTGAATCAAAATTAATGGTGAAAATCTAGCAAAATTTTCCCATGAAATAAAAATAATTGTATATACATCAAATTATCTTTAAATTAAGTGGTGGCAGAAGAATTATCATTGAACTTTTAAAAGGTAAGCTTAAATATTAATGTAATACTTTAATGCAGTGATCACTTTTGAGCTCTTCTGTATTGTTACCTATTGCATCTACTACAAATGTTGAAATGGTCAAAGAAAAATGAATTGGAGAATATCAGTGTATGGATGTGCAAGTGGATAATGGTAAAATTACCAGTTTTCATACAATAAGCATTCAGTATTCCTTGACTAAACAATGTTCCTATCAGTTGAAAGTTCTAAAATCTTTTTATTAAAACAATTTTTTGAAGGCCACAAACCGTTATAGTTCTTTCTAACAGTGATGGGAGATTCCTTTGAATCTTTTAGTTTTTAGTAGTGTAGAAAGTTAACAGCATGATTATATTATTATTTTCTCTTCTAGTTACATGTTGCTGTTTCTGTTGGAAGAAATATATTTGATGATGTGCATGTAAAAACCTTTTGATAATACAAAAAAAAAAAAATATACCTCTGACATAATGGTAAGGTCTTTGCTAGATGAAGATACCATTTTACTTGTCTAACTTCACTAGTTCCACACACGTGAGAATTTAAAATGTGGAAGGTATTTCTGCTGCACCGTGTAACTAATGTCTTACCATTATATGGGAGGTATTACTAATGTCTTACCATTATATGGGAGGTATTACTAATGTCTTACCATTATATGGGAGGTATTACTGTCTTACCATTATATGGGAGGCATTACCATTATATGGGAGTTATTATAATGTTCATTATATTTCTGACCATGGAGAACTGGATGGTTATAATGTTCACTTTCTGACCATGAGAACTGGATTCAAATTTCACCATGGTCGATTTGTCAGGATGTTATCAGACTGGATGGGGTTGATCCTATTGTGTGGCACCTTTGGAAAATGCCTGAAAACCATAACCTTATGAGTGAAATTGGGTAGATGGAATCCTTGGGCTCGTTGATAGCTGCGCTAGCATGAAGTCACAAGTCATCATGGCCGAGGGCTTGAGCGTGCTGGCCTTGTTCAAATTGTTGATCATGCTAGATAAGATGCTCTTTCCCAATAACTGTAACTAAGGTCTGCTTAGCATAGTTGCAGTATAAACCTCAGGTGGGCTCTGTGGGTGTTGAATAAACACATATATGCCTGAGCAAGCTTCTGCAATAGGGATTGGCTAGCCGCCCTAGTAGATGGGTATCCTCAAATACGAGTGGCCAGCTATACATACATACATACATACATATGAGCAAAGTATTTCTGCTGCACCCTTAAAATATCAATTTCATATATGATATCATTTTTAACAGCATGGGTAAACCTATATTAATATACAATTCTTTTGGGGAGATCGGTTTTCTATTGTTATTAAGTGAAAAACTGACTATGCTTATCATTGCATTGCTTTTTTTTAAAAAATCAGTTTCACCCTGTGCAGGGCTGCAAAACCACAATGGGTCACCGTGTATGGAAGAATTAGGAACAAAAACAATGCTAATGAGAGTGAAGAGAAAAGAGTAATCAGGTGGATGGTAGACAGTGATTGACATTGCATTTAAATTTTTGCAGATTAAAGTTGGCTGGAAAGCATGGCGCTAAAAAGGAGTTCCACAAGTGAGAAGTGCGAGAAAAGAAACTGTTAGCATTCACAGACACATCTAGCCAGATCAACTGAGATGAAATCATGATACCAGTCTAGTACTGCTCTTTAATTAAAAAAAGTGAGGTACCATAGTGAAGAGTTCATCCAAACAATTATTATGAAAGTATTTATAGAAAAGACACAGAGAGACAATGTTATGGTCGTGAAAAAGCGACTGAAGCCTAGCTGCCAGATCAGGACTGATAATATTGCTGATTCTTCTTTGGAAGTAAAGGTAAATAGAATATTATAATTTGAGAAAATATATATATTCTGTAAAAACATTAAAATAGTAAGGATTTAACAGAATATGCATTCATTTTTGACAAGACGAGTATCTTTTATTTCTTCAGTGTTCTTTCCTATATTGTTACAATATATTGCCTGACACTGGTCCATTTATAAATATCCATATGTAAAAATAGATAAACTGGACTATTTATTCAAAGAAAGAAAATGTGGAAAACTTGTTACTGATTTACATTTCTAAATTCTATTATTCACTCAACAGTTGTCACCTTCAATTTCACAGGTATATACAAGTGTCAGCCATACTTATCTTTGGAAATAATTTGAGCTATAGTATCTTACTGAAAAAAAACAGAGAAAAGTTTAAAAAAATTAGAAAGAATAAAAGGAAGACCATTTGTCACTGTTTCTTTTTTTATGCCATGTCTCTTTAAGGTGTAGTCATTCAATACTCTGCAAAAATTCATTTTCTTTTATTTTCTCTGAATTGCTATGCATTCTTGGGAAAAGCCAGTGAAGTAGTTTCTTATCTTCTTCATAGCTTGGAATGAAGACCTAGTCTATCTTGCTATCCAACTCTTAGCCAGAGTGGAGAGAGAGAGAGTCTATCTTGCTATCCAACTCTTAGCCAGAGTGGAGAGAGAGAGAGAGTCTATCTTGCTATCCAACTCTTGCTATCCAACTATCTTGCTATCCAACTCTTAGCCAGAGTAGAGAGAGAGAGAGTCTATCTTGCTATCCAACTCTTAGCCAGAGGAGAGAGAGAGAGAGTCTATCTTGCTATCCAACTCTTAGCCAGAGTGGAGAGAGAGAGAGAGTCTATCTTGCTATCCAACTCTTAGCCAGAGTAGAGAGAGAGAGAGTCTATCTTGCTATCCAACTCTTAGCCAGAGTGGAGAGAGAGAGAGTCTATCTTGCTATCCAACTCTTAGCCAGAGTGGAGAGAGAGAGAGAGAGTCTATCTTGCTATCCAACTCTTAGCCAGAGTGAGAGAGAGAGAGAGTCTATCTTGCTATCCAACTCTTAGCCAGAGGGGAGAGAGAGAGAGAGTCTATCTTGCTATCCAACTCTTAGCCAGCTAGGGAGAGAGAGAGAGAGTCTATCTTCTATCCAACTCTTAGCCAGAGTGAGAGAGAGAGAGTCTATCTTGCTATCCAACTCTTAGCCAGAGCAGAGAGAGAGAGTCTATCTTGCTATCCAACTTAGCCAGAGTGGAGAGAGAGAGAGTCTATCTTCATATCCAACTCTTAGCCAGAGAGAGAGAGAGAGAGTCTATCTTGCTATCAACTCTTAGCCAGGAGTGGGAGAGAGAGAGAGTCTATCTTGCTATCCAACTCTTAGCCAGTCTATCTTGCTATCCAACTCTTAGCCAGAGTGGAGAGAGAGAGAGAGTCTATCTTGCTATCCAACTCTTAGCCAGAGGAGAGAGAGAGAGTCTATCTTGCTATCCAACTCTTAGCCAGAGTGGAGAGAGAGAGAGAGAGTCTATCTTGCTATCCAACTCTTAGCCAGAGTGGAGAGAGAGAGAGAGTCTATCTTGCTATCCAACTCTTAGCCAGAGTGGAGAGAGAGAGAGAGTCTATCTTGCTATCCAACTCTTAGCCAGAGTGAGAGAGAGAGAGAGTCTATCTTGCTATCCAACTCTTAGCCAGAGTGGAGAGAGAGAGAGAGAGTCTATCTTGCTATCCAACTCTTAGCCAGAGTGGAGAGAGAGAGAGAGTCTATCTTGCTATCCAACTCTTAGCCAGAGTGGAGAGAGAGAGAGAGCCAGTCTATCTTGCTATCCAACTCTTAGCCAGAGAGAGAGAGAGAGTCTATCTTGCTATCCAACTCTTAGTAGAGAGAGAGAGAGTCTGTCTTGCTATCAACTCTTAGCCAGAGTAGAGAGAGAGAGTCTATCTTGCTATCCAACTCTTAGCCAGAGTGGAGAGAGAGAGAGTCTATCTTGCTATCCAACTCTTAGCCAGAGTAGGAGAGAGAGAGAGAGTCTATCTTCATATCCAACTCTTAGGGGGAGAGGGAGAGAGAGTCTATCTTGCTATCCAACTCTTAGAGTGGAGAGAGAGAGAGTCTATCTTGCTATCCAACTCTTAGCCAGAGTGGAGAGAGAGAGAGTCTATTGCTATCAACTCTTAGCCAGAGTGGAGAGAGAGAGTGGTCTATCTTGCTATCCAACTCTTAGAGAGAGAGAGAGTCTATCTTGCTATCCAACTCTTAGCCAGAGTGGAGGAGAGAGAGAGTCTATCTTGCTATCCAACTCTTAGCCAGAGTAGAGAGAGAGAGAGTCTATCTTGCTATCCAACTCTTAGCCAGAGTAGAGAGAGAGAGAGTCTATCTTGCTATCCAACTCTTAGCCAGAGTGGAGAGAGAGAGAGAGTCTATCTTGCTATCCAACTCTTAGCCAGAGTGGAGAGAGAGAGAGAGTCTATCTTGCTATCCAACTCTTAGCCAGAGTGGAGAGAGAGAGAGAGTCTATCTTGCTATCCAACTCTTAGCCAGAGTGGAGAGAGAGAGAGTCTATCTTGCTATCCAACTCTTAGCCAGAGTGGAGAGAGAGAGAGTCTATCTTATCCTATCAACAGCTTAGTGGAGAGAGAGAGAGTCTATCTTGCTATCCAACTCTTAGCCAGAGTGAGAGAGAGAGAGTCTGTCTTGCTATCCAACTCTTAGCCAGAGGAGAGAGAGAGAGAGTCTATCTTGCTATCCAACTCTTAGCCAGAGGGAGAGAGAGAGAGTCTATCTTGCTATCCAACTCTTAGCCAGAGTGAGAGAGAGAGAGAGTCTATCTTGCTATCCAACTCTTAGCCAAGTGGAGAGAGAGAGAGAGTCTATCTTGCTATCAACTCTTAGCCAGAGAGAGAGAGAGTCTATCTTGCTATCCAACACTTAGCCAGAGGGAGAGAGAGAGAGAGAGAGTCTATCTTGCTATCCAACTCTTAGCCAGAGTGGAGAGAGAGAGAGTCTATCTTGCTATCCAACTCTTAGCCAGTGGAGAGAGAGAGAGAGAGTCTATCTTGCTATCCAACTCTTAGCCAGAGTAGAGAGAGAGAGAGTCTATCTTGCTATCCAACTCTTAGCCAGAGTAGAGAGAGAGAGAGTCTATCTTGCTATCCAACTCTTAGCCAGAGTAGAGAGAGAGAGTCTATCTTGCTATCCAACTCTTAGCCAGAGTGAGAGAGAGAGAGTCTATCTTGCTATCCAACTCTTTAGCCCAGAGTGGAGAGAGAGAGAGTCTATCTTGCTATCCAACTCTAGCCAGAGAGAGAGAGAGAGTCTATCTTGCTATCCAACCTTAGCCAGTGGAGAGAGAGAGAGAGAGTCTATCTTGCTATCCAACTTTAGCCAGAGTAGAGAGAGAGAGAGAGTCTATCTTGCTATCCAACTCTTAGCCAGAGGGAGAGAGAGAGAGTCTATCTTGCTATCCAACTCTTAGCCAGAGTGGGAGAGAGAGAGAGAGTCTATCTTGCTATCCAACTCTTAGCCAGAGTGGGAGAGAGAGAGAGAGTCTGTCTTGCTATCCAACTCTGGAGTGGGAGAGAGAGAGAGAGCCATCTTGCTATCCAAATCCTTAGCCAGAGGGAGAGAGAGAGAGTCTATCTTGCTATCCAACTCTTAGCCAGAGTGGAGAGAGAGAGAGTCTATCTTATATCCAACTCTTAGCCAGGAGGAGAGAGAGAGAGTCTATCTTGCTATCCAACTCTTAGCCTCTTGCTATCCAACTCTTAGCCAGAGCAGAGAGAGAGAGAGAGTCTATCTTGCTATCCAACTCTTAGCCAGAGGAGAGAGAGAGAGTCTATCTTGCTATCCAACCTTAGCCAGAGGAGAGAGAGAGAGAGTCTATCCATATCCAACCTTTAGCCAGAGGGGAGAGAGAGAGAGTCTATCCAACTCTAGCCAGAGTGAGAGAGATCCAATCCTTTAGCCAGAGGAGAGAGAGAGAGAGTCTATCTTGGTTATCCAACCTTAGCCAGAGTGGAGAGAGAGAGAGTCTATCTTGCTATCCAACTCTTAGCCAGAGGAGAGAGAGAGAGAGTCTATCTTGTTATCCAACTCTTAGCCAGAGTGGGGAGAGAGAGAGTCTATCTTGCTATCCAACTCTAGCCAGAGTGGAGAGAGAGAGAGTCTATCTTGCTATCCAACTAGCCAGAGTGGAGAGAGAGAGTCTATCTTGCTATCCAACTCTTAGCCAGAGTGAGAGAGAGAGAGTCTATCTTGCTATCCAACTCTTAGCCAGAGTAGAGAGAGAGAGAGAGTCTATCTTGCTATCCAACTCTTATCTTGTTATCCAACTTAGCCAGAGTGGAGAGAGAGAGAGAGTCTATCTTGCTATCCAATCCAAGTCTATCTTATCCAACCTTGTGGAGAGAGAGAGAGAGTCTATCTTGCTATCCAACTTAGCCAGAGTGGAGAGAGAGAGAGAGTCTATCTTGCTATCTTAGCCAGAGTAGAGAGAGAGAGTCTATCTTGCTATCCAACTCTTAGCCAGAGTGGAGAGAGAGAGAGTCTATCTTGCTATCCAACTCTTAGCCAGAGTGGAGAGAGAGAGAGTCTATCTTGCTATCCAACCTTAGCCAGAGTGGAGAGAGAGAGAGAGTCTATCTTGCTATCCAACTCTTAGCCAGAGTGGAGAGAGAGAGAGTCTATCTTGCTATCCAACTCTTAGCCAGAGTGGAGAGAGAGAGAGAGTCTATCTTGCTATCCAACTCTTAGCCAGAGTAGAGAGAGAGAGTCTATCTTGCTATCCAACTCTTAGCCAGAGTGGAGAGAGAGAGAGAGTCTATCTTGCTATCCAACTCTTAGCCAGAGTGGAGAGAGAGAGAGAGTCTATCTTGCTATCCAACTCTTAGCCAGAGAGAGAGAGAGAGAGTCTATCTTGCTATCCAACTCTTAGCCAGAGAGAGAGAGAGAGAGAGAGAGTCTATCTTGCTATCCAACCTTAGCCAGAGAGAGAGAGAGAGAGTCTATCTTGCTATCCAACTCTTAGCCAGAGTGGAGAGAGAGAGAGTCTATCTTGCTATCCAACTCTTAGCCAGAGTGGGAGAGAGAGAGAGTCTATCTTGCTATCCAACTCTAGCCAGAGTGGAGAGAGAGAGAGAGTCTATCTTGCTATCCAACTCTTAGCCAGAGAGAGAGAGAGTCTATCTTGCTATCCAACTTTAGCCAGAGTGGAGAGAGAGAGAGTCTATCTTGCTATCCAACTCTTTAGCCAGAGCAGAGAGAGAGAGAGTCTATCTTGCTATCCAACTCCTTAGCCAGAGTGGAGAGAGAGAGTCTTATCTTGCCATCCAACCTTTAGCCAGAGTAGAGAGAGAGAGAGTCTATCTTGCTATCCAACTTTTAGCCAGAGTGGAGAGAGAGAGAGAGTCTATCTTGCTATCCAACTCTTAGCCAGAGGGGAGAGAGAGAGAGAGTCTATCTGCTATCCAACTCTTGTCTATCTTGCTATCCAACTTAGCCAGAGAGAGAGAGAGTCTATCTTGCTATCCAACTCTTAGCCAGAGTGGAGAGAGAGAGAGTCTATCTTTGCTATCCAACTCTTTAGCCAGAGTGGAGAGAGAGAGAATCTTGCTATCCAACTCTAGCCAGAGAGAGAGAGAGAGAGAGTCTATCTTGCTATCCAACTCTTTAGCCAGAGTGGAGAGAGAGAGAGAGTCTATCTTGCTATCCAACTCTTTAGCCAGAGTGGAGAGAGAGAGAGAGTCTATCTTGCTATCCAACTCTTAGCCAGAGTCTATCTAAGTATCCAACTCTTGGAGAGAGAGAGAGTCTATCTTGCTATCCAACTCTTAGCCAGAGTGGAGAGAGAGAGAGAGAGTCTATCTTGCTATCCAACTTTAGCCAGAGGAGAGAGAGAGAGAGAGTCTATCTTGCTATCCAACCTAGCCAGAGTGGAGAGAGAGAGAGAGTCTATCTTGCTATCCAACTCTTAGCCAGAGTGGAGAGAGAGAGAGTCTATCTTGCTATCCAACTCTTAGCCAGAGTGGAGAGAGAGAGAGAGTCTATCTTGCTATCCAACTCTTAGCCAGAGTGGAGAGAGAGAGAGAGTCTATCTTGCTATCCAACTCTTAGCCAGAGAGGGAGCCAGAGAGAGAGAGTCTATCTTGCTATCCAACTCTAGCCAGAGTAGCCAGAGTCTATCTTGGAGAGAGTAGAGAGAGAGAGAGTCTATCTTGCTATCCAACTCTTAGCCAGAGTGGAGAGAGAGAGAGAGTCATCTTGCTATCCAACTCTTAGCCAGAGGGGAGAGAGAGAGAGTCTATCTTGCTATCCAACTCTTAGCCAGAGTGAGAGAGAGAGAGTCTATCTTGCTATCCAACCTTAGCCTTATCTTGCTATCCAACCTTAGCCAGAGTGGGAGAGAGAGAGAGAGAGTCTATCTTGTTATCCAACTCTTAGCCAGAGTGGAGAGAGAGAGAGTCTATCTTGCTATCCAACTCTTAGCCAGAGAGAGTCTAGAGAGAGAGAGAGTCTATCTTGCTATCCAAATCTTTAGCCAGAGTAGAGAGAGAGAGACTATCTTAGCCAGAGAGGAGAGAGAGAGAGAGAGTTCATCTTGCTATCCAACCTTAGCCAGAGGAGAGAGAGAGATCTTGCTATCTTGCTATCCTCTAGCCAGAGTGAGGAGAGAGAGAGAGTCTATCTTGCTATCCAACTCTTAGCCAGTCTATCTTGCTATCCAACTCTTAGGGGAGGAGAGAGAGTCTATCTTGCTATCCAACTCTTAGCCAGAGTGGAGAGAGAGAGAGATCTTCTATCTGTTATCTTCCTTAGCCAGAGTGGAGAGAGAGAGAGAGTCTATCTTCTTCCAACCAGAGTGGAGAGAGAGAGAGAGTCTATCTTGTTATCCAATCTTAGCCAGAGGGGAGAGAGAGAGAGAGTCTATCTTGCTATCCAACTCTTAGCCAGAGGGGAGAGAGAGAGAGTCTATCTTGCTATCCAAACCTTAGCCAGAGTGGAGAGAGAGAGAGAGTCTATCTTGCTATCCAACTCTTAGCCAGAGTGGAGAGAGAGAGAGAGTCTATCTTGCTATCCAACTCTTAGCCAGAGTGGAGAGAGAGAGAGAGATCTTCTATCTTGCCTATCCAACTCTTATCCAGAGTGGAGAGAGAGAGAGAGTCTATCTATCTTAGCCAGAGTGGGAGGAGAGAGAGAGTCTATCTTGCTATCCAACTCTTAGCCAGAGGGGAGAGAGAGAGAGTCTATCTTGCTATCCAACTCTTAGCCAGAGATCTGCTATCCAACTCAGGAGAGAGAGAGAGAGTCTATCTTATCCAACTCTTAGCCAGAGTGGAGAGAGAGAGAGAGTCTATGCTATCCAACCTTAGCCAGAGTGGAGAGAGAGAGAGTCTATCTTGCTATCCAACTCTTTAGCCATCTTGAGGGGAGAGAGAGAGAGTCTATCTTGCTATCCAACTCTTAGCCAGAGGGAGAGAGAGAGAGAGTCTATCTTGCTATCCAACTCTTAGCCAGAGTAGAGAGTCTAGAGAGAGAGTCTATCTTGCTATCCAACTCTTAGCCAGAGTAGAGAGAGAGAGAGTCTATCTTGCTATCCAAGCCAGAGGGAGAGAGAGAGAGAGTCTATCTTATATCCAACCTTAGCCAGAGGGGAGAGAGAGAGAGTCTATCTTGCTATCCAACTCTAGCCAGAGGAGAGAGAGAGAGAGCCAGAGGAGAGAGAGAGAGGTTATCCAACCTTTAGCCAGAGTGGAGAGAGAGAGAGTCTATCTTGCTATGCTAGCCAGAGTAGAGAGAGAGTCTATCTTGCTATCCAACTTAGCCAGAGTGGAGAGAGAGAGATCATTCATATCCAACCTTAGCCAGAGTAGAGAGAGAGAGTCTATCTTGCTATCCAACCTTAGCCAGAGGTGGAGAGAGAGAGAGTCTATTCCATCCAACCTTTAGCCAGAGGAGAGAGAGAGAGAGTCTATCTTGCTATCCCAACTCTTAGTCAGAGTAGAGAGAGAGAGAGTCTATCTTGTATCCAACTCTAGCCAGAGGGGAGAGAGAGAGTCTATCTTGCTATCCAACTCTTAGCCAGAGTAGAGAGAGAGAGTCTATCTTGCTAGCCAGAGGGGGAGAGAGAGAGAGTCATTCATTATCCAACCTTAGCCAGAGTGGGGAGAGAGAGAGTCTATCTTGTTATCCAACTCTTAGCCAGAGAGAGAGAGAGAGAGTCTATCTTGCTATCCAACTCTTAGCCAGAGGGAGAGAGAGAGAGAGAGTCTATCTTGCTATCCAATCCTTAGCCAGAGTGGAGAGAGAGAGAGAGTCTATCTTGCTATCCAACTCCCCAGAGGAGAGAGAGAGAGAGAGTCTATCTTCTATCCAACTCTTAGCCAGAGGGAGAGAGAGAGAGAGTGGAGAGAGAGAGAGAGTCTATCTTAGCCAGAGGGGAGAGAGAGAGAGTCTATCCAACTCTTAGCCAGAGGGAGAGAGAGAGAGATCTTGTTATCCAAGAGGCAAACGACAGAGTAGAGAGAGAGAGTTTATCTTAGATCCAACTCAGAGGGCCAGAGGGGAGAGAGAGAGAGAGTCTATCTTGCTATCCAACTCTTGGCCAGAGGGGAGAGAGAGAGAGTTATCCAACTCTAGCCAGAGGAGAGAGAGAGAGTCTATCTTGCTATCTTAGCCAGAGTGGAGAGAGAGAGAGTCTATCTTGCTATCCAACTCTTAGCCAGAGGGAGAGAGAGGGAGAGTCTATCTTGCTATCCAACTCTTAGCCAGAGGGGGGAGAGAGAGAGAGAGTCTATCTTGCTATCCAACGCTTTAGGAGAGAGAGAGAGAGAGAGAGTAAAATGACAGAGGGCTATCCAAGAGAGAGCCAGAGTAGAGAGAGAGAGAGAGATCAATCAAAACTTTTAGCCAGAGAGGAGAGAGAGAGAAAAACAGATCTTGCTATCCAACTCAAAGCCAGAGGGGAGAGAGAGAGAGAGAGTTAAACAAACAGAGGGAGAGAGAGAGAGCAAAACAACAGCCAGGAGAGAGAGAGAGTCTAACAGAGGGAGAGGGATCCAACTCAAAGCCAGAGGAGAGAGAGAGAGTCTACAGAGGGATCCAACTCTTAGACAGAGGGGGGAGAGAGAGAGAGTCAGAGGGAGGAGATCCAACTCTTAGACAGAGGGGAGAGAGAGAGAGTCTAGAGAGCTATCCAACGACTTAGGGAGGTGAGAGAGAGAGAGAGAGTCTATCTTGCTAACCAACGACTTAGCCAGAGTGAGAGAGAGAGAGAGAGAGAGAGAGAACAAAACGACAGAGGGAGAGGGAGAGAGAGAGAGAGAGTCTATCTACAGAACCAAACGACAGAGGGAGAGAGAGAGAGAGTCTATCTTGCTATATCCAACTTAGACAGAGGGAGAGAGAGAGTGAGATCAAACCGACAGAGGGAGAGAGAGAGAGAGAACAAATCCAACAGAGCCAGAGAGAGAGAGAGAGACAAGGGATCTTGAGATCCAAACTTTAGCCAGAGGGGAGGGAGAGAGAGAGAGTCTATCTTGCTATCCAACTCTTAGAGGGAGGGAGAGAGAGAGAGTCTAAACAATCCAACAGAGGAGAGAGAGAGAGAGAGAGTCTATCTTGCTATCCAACTCTTAGCCAGGGAGAGAGAGAGAGAGTCTTGCCACAGCCAGGGAGGAGAGAGAGAGAGAGAACAAATGACAGAGGGAGGGAGAGAGAGAGAGAGTCAATCTTGCTATCCAACTTTAGCCAGAGGGAGGGAGAGAGAGAGTCTAGTTATCCAACTCTTAGCCAGAGGGAGAGAGAGAGAGAGTCTAGAGAACATCCAACGACAGAGGAGAGAGAGAGAGAGAGAGTCTATCTTGCTATCCAACTTAGCCAGAGAGAGAGAGAGAGAGTCTATTCACATCCAACTCTTAGCCACAGAGGGAGAGAGAGAGAGAGACAAAATCCAACCAGCCAGAGGGGAGAGAGAGAGAGTCTATCTTGCTATCCAACTTAGCCAGAGGGAGAGAGAGAGAGTCTAGAGAGAGATCCAACTCAGAGCCAGAGGGGAGAGAGAGAGAGAACAAATCTATTCATCCAACAGAGAGTCTATCTTGCTATCCAGAGAGGGGGAGAGAGAGAGAGAGTCTATCTTGCTATCCAACTCTTAGCCAGAGGGGAGAGAGAGAGAGAGTTTACTTGCTATCCAACTCTTAGCCAGAGGGAGAGAGAGAGAGAGTCTTTGCTATCCAATCTTAGCCAGAGGAGAGAGAGAGAGAGAGTCTATCTTGCTATCCAACTCTTAGCCAGGGGAGAGAGAGAGAGTCTATCTGCCATCCAACCTTGACAGAGGGAGAGAGAGAGAGAGTAGAGAGAACAATCCAACAGAGCCAGAGGAGAGAGAGAGAGAGAGCAAAACGACAGAGGGGAGGGGAGAGAGAGAGAGAGAACTTAGAGGAGAGAGAGAGACAGAGAGAGGGAGAGACATCCAACCAGAGCCAGAGGGAGAGAGAGAGAGTCTATCTTGCTATCAAAACTTTATGACAAGGGGAGAGAGAGAGAGAGTCTAACATCCAACTTTAGAGGAGGGAGAGAGAGAGAGAGAAACAATCCAACAGAGGGCCAGGGAGAGAGAGAGAGAGAACAAAACGACAGAGGCTATCCAATCCTTAGCCAGAGGGGGAGAGAGAGAGAGAGAGAACAAAACGACAGAGGGAGAGAGAGAGAGAACAAAACGACAACCCAGAGGGAGAGAGAGAGAGTCTAACAAAACGACAGCCAGAGGGAGAGAGAGAGAGTCAAAATGACAGAGGGAGGGAGAGAGAGAGAGAGTCTAGAACAAAACGACAGAGGAGAGAGAGAGAGAGAGAACAAAACGACAGAGGGGGAGGGAGAGAGAGAGAGAACAAAACGATCCAAGAGGAGGGGAGAGAGAGAGAGAGAGAGAGAGAACAAAACGACAGAGGGAGGGAGAGAGAGAGAGAGAGAACAAAACGACAGAGGGAGAGAGAGAGAGAGAGTCTATCTTGAGATCAAAACGACAGAGGGGAGAGAGAGAGTCTATCTTGTTATCCAAAACGACAGAGGGGAGAGAGAGAGAGAGAGAACAAAACGACAGAGGAGGGAGAGAGAGAGAGAACAAAAACGACAGATCCAGGGAGAGAGAGAGAGAGAACAAAAGAGAGAGGGAGGAGAGAGAGATCCAACAAAAGCCAGAGGGAGGGAGAGAGAGAGAGCTATCCAACAAAACGAGAGAGAGAGAGATGACAGAGAGAGAGAGAGAGACAAAAAGACAGAGAGAGGGAGAGAGAGATCCAACAAAAGACAGAGGGAGGGAGAGAGAGAGAGAGATATCAAAACGACAGAGGGGAGAGAGAGAGAGAGAGACAAAACGACAGCCAGGGAGAGAGAGAGAGTCTATCTTGAATCCAACCTAGCCAGAGGGGAGAGAGAGAGAGAGAACAACTCTTAGCCAGAGAGAGAGAGAGAGAGAGAGAGAACTAAACTTAGACAGAGGGAGAGAGAGAGATCTTGAACAAAACGACAGAGGGAGAGAGAGAGAGAGAGATACTATCCAACGACAGAGGGAGAGAGAGAGAGAGAACAAATCCAACAGAGGGGGGGGAGAGAGAGAGAGAGAGAACTATCCAACTTTAGCCAGAGGGAGAGAGAGAGAGAGAGATCTTGCTATCCAAACGACAGAGAGGGAGAGAGAGAGTCTAGAGAGAACAAAACGACAGAGGGAGAGAGAGAGAGAGAGAGAGAGAGTCTAGGGAGGTTATCCAAGAGAGAACAAAACGACAGAGAGAGGAGAGAGAGAGAGAGAACATCCAAAATGACAGAGGGGGGAGAGAGAGAGAGTCTAGAACATCCAAACTTTAGCCAGAGGGAGAGAGAGAGAGAGAGATCTTGAACAAAACGACAGAGGGGAGAGAGAGAGAGAGTCTAGAGAACAATCCGACAGAGGAGGGAGGAGAGAGAGAGAGAGAGAGACAGAGGGAGAGAGAGTTATCCAACAAAACGACAGAGTGGAGAGAGAGAGAGAACAAAACGACAACCTTAGGAGGAGAGAGAGAGAGAACAAAACTTAGACAGAGGGGGGAGGAGAGAGAGAGAGAGAGAACAAAACGACAGCCAGAGGAGAGAGAGAGAGAGAGAGAGATCCAAAACTTAGCCAGAGTAGAGAGAGAGAGATCTTGCTATCCAACCTTTAGCCAGAGGGAGGGAGAGAGAGAGAGAGTCCAACAAAAGACAGAGGGAGGAGAGAGAGAGTCTATTTGCTAACAACCTTAGCCAGAGGAGAGAGAGAGAGAGAGAGAATCAAAACGACAGAGGGAGGGGAGAGAGAGAGAGAACAAAACGACAGAGGGAGGAGACAGAGAGAGAGAGTCTATCTTGCGACAGAGGGGGAGAGAGAGAGAGAGAGAGGATCTGCTATCCAACTCTTAGACAGAGGGAGAGAGAGAGAGAGAGAGAGATCCAAAACGACAGAGGGAGGGGAGAGAGAGAGAGAGAACAAAACGACAGAGGGAGCCAGAGAGAGAGAGAGTCTATCTTCATATCCACTCTTAGCCAGAGAGAGAGAGAGAGTCTATCTTGAGATCCAAACGAGACAGAGGAGAGAGAGAGAGAGAGAACAAAACGACAGAGGAGAGAGAGAGACAGAGAGAAATCCAAAAGAGACAGAGGGAGAGAGAGAGAGAGAGAGAATCAAAACGACAGAGGGAGGGGAGAGAGAGAGAGAGTCTATCTTGCTATATCAAAACGACAGAGAGGAGAGAGAGAGTCTATTGATATCCAAAACGACAGAGGAGAGGAGAGAGAGTCTATCTTGTTATCAAAACGACAGCCAGAGGGGAGGAGAGAGAGTCTAGAGAGAATCCAATGACAGCCAGAGGGAGAGAGAGAGTCTAACAAAACGACAGAGTGGAGGGAGAGAGAGAGAGAGATCCAAAACGACAGAGTGGAGAGAGAGAGAGAGTCTATCTTGAGATCCAAAACGACAGAGGGAGAGAGAGAGAGAGAGAGAATCAAAAACTTAGACAGAGGGAGGGAGAGAGAGAGAGAGAACAAAACGACAGAGGGAGGGAGAGAGAGAGAGAGATCTTTGCTATCCAACCTTAGACAGAGGGAGGGAGAGAGAGAGAGAGAACAAAACGACAGAGGGAGGGAGAGAGAGAGAGAGAACAAAACGACAGAGGGAGGGAGAGAGAGAGAGAGAACAAAACGACAGAGGGGGAGAGAGAGAGAGATCTTGTTAACAAAACGACAGAGGAGGAGAGAGAGAGAGAGACAGAGGGAGGGAGAGAGAACAAAGTCGACAGAGGGAGAGAGAGAGAGAGAGAGAACAAACCGACAGAGGGAGGGGAGAGAGAGAGAGAGAACAAATCCAACAGAGGGAGGGGAGAGAGAGAGAGAGCAAAACGACAGAGGGAGAGAGAGAGAACAAAACGACAGAGGGAGAGAGAGAGAACAAAACGACAGAGGGAGAGAGAGAGAGAGAGATTCACAACAAAACGACAGAGGAGAGAGAGAGAGAGAGAGATCAAATCGACAGAGCCAGAGGAGAGAGAGAACAAAACGACAGAGGGAGGGATCCAAGAGAGAGAACAAAACGACAGAGAGAGAGAGAGAGAGAGATCCAAACGACAGAGGGAGAGGAGAGTCTAGAGAGAGATCCAAAACGACAGAGGAGAGAGAGAGATCAAAACGACAGAGGGAGGAGATCCAAATCCAAACAGACAGAGGGAGAGAGAGAGAGAGTCTAACAAAACGACAGAGGGAGGGGGAGAGAGAGAGTCTAGAGAACAATCCGACAGAGGGAGGGAGAGAGAGAGAGAGTCTAGAATCAAAGCGACAGCCAGGGAGGGAGAGAGAGAACAAAACGACAACTCTTAGCCAGAGAGAGAGAGAGAGAAACTTGCTATCCAACCCTTAGGGAGGGGAGAGAGAGAGAGAGTCTATCTTGCTATCGACAGCCAGAGTGGAGAGAGAGAGAGAACTATCTTATCCAACAGCCAGAGGGAGAGAGAGAGAGAGAGTCTATCTTGCTATCCAACCTTAGCCAGAGGGAGAGAGAGAGAGAGTCTATCTTGTTATCCAACTCTTAGCCACAGAGGGGGAGAGAGAGAGAGAGTCCAATCTTTAGCCAGAGGGAGAGAGAGAGAGATCTTCCAACCTTTAGCCTAGCCAGAGGGAGAGAGAGAGAGAGTCTATCTTGCTATCCAACTCTTAGACAGAGGGAGAGAGAGAGAGAGAGTCTACACATCCAACTCGACAGCCAGAGGGAGAGAGAGAGAGTCTATCTGGTTATCCAAGCCATCCAACCTTAGCCAGAGGGGAGAGAGAGAGAGAGTCTATCTTGCTATCCAACCTAGCCAGAGGGGAGAGAGAGAGAGTCTAGCCTATGCTATCCAACCTTTAGGCCAGAGGGGAGAGAGAAAGAGTCTTGAGATCCAAACTATCAACTCTTAGCCAGAGGGGAGAAAGAGAGAGAGAGTCTATCTTGGGTTATCCAACTTTAGCCACAGGGGAGAGAGAGAGAGAGAGAACTGGTCCATCCAACCAGAGTGGAGAGAGAGAGAGAGTCTATCTTGCTATCCAACAAAGGCCAGAGGAGAGAGACTCTTAGCCAACTCTTAGCCAGAGGGGAGAGAGAGAGAGAGAGTGCCAGAGGGGGAGAGAGAGAGAGTCTATCTTGCTATCAATCCTCTTAGCCAGAGTGGAGAGAGAGAGAGAGTCTATCTTGCTATCCAACTCTTAGCCAGAGGTGAGAGAGAGAGAGTCTTATCCAACTCTTGCTACATCCAACCTTCAGAGGAGAGAGAGAGAGAGTCTATTCTATCTTCCAGCCAGAGGGAGAGGGAGAGAGAGAGTCTATCTTGCTATCCAACTCTTAGGCCAGAGGGAGAGAGACTCTATCCAACAAAAGCCAGAGGGAGAGAGAGAGAGAGTCTATCTTTGTAGCCAGAGGGAGAGAGAGAGAGAGTCTATCTTGCTATCCAACTCTTAGCCAGAGTGGAGAGAGAGAGAGTCTATTCCACATCCAACTCTTAGCCAGGAGAGAGAGAGAGAGTCTATCTTGCTATCAACTCTTAGCCAGAGGGGAGAGAGAGAGAGAGTCTATCTTGCTATCCAACTCTCTTAGCCAGAGGAGAGAGAGAGAGAGAGTCATCTTGCTATCAACTCTTAGCCAGAGGGAGAGAGAGAGAGTCTATCTTGCTATCAACTCTTAGCCAGTGGAGAGAGAGAGAGAGTCTATCTTGCTATCCAACTCTTAGCCAGAGGGGAGAGAGAGAGAGAGTCTATCTTGCTATCAACTCTTAGCCAAGTGGAGAGAGAGAGAGAGTCTATCTTGCTATCAACTCTTAGCCAGAGTGGAGAGAGAGAGAGAGTCTATCTTAGCCAGAGGGGAGAGAGAGGGGTTCTTGCTATCCAACTCTTAGCCAGAGGGAGAGAGAGAGAGGAGAGTCTATCTTGCTATCCAACTCTTAGAGAGAGAGAAAGGGAGTCTATTGCTATCAACTCTTAGCCAGAGGGGAGAGAGAGAGAGAGTCTGTCTTGCTATCCAACTCTTAGCCACAGAGGGAGAGAGAGAGAGAGTCTATCTTGCTATCCAACTCTTAGCCAGAGTGGAGAGAGAGAGAGAGTCTATCTTGCTATCCAACTCTTTGTAGCCAGAGTGGAGAGAGAGAGAGAGTCTATCTTGTTATCAACTCTTAGCCAGTCTAGCTATCAACTCTTAGCCAGGGAGAGAGAGAGAGTCTATCTTACATATCCAACTCTTAGCCAGAGGGGAGAGAGAGAGAGAGTCTATCTTGCTATCCAACTCTTAGCCAGAGGAGAGAGAGAGAGAGTCTATCTTGCTATCCAACTCTTAGCCAGAGGAGAGAGAGAGAGATCTTGAGCCAGAGAGAGAGTCTATGCTATCCAACTCTTAGCCAGAGTGAGAGAGAGAGAGAGAGTCTATCTTGCTATCCAACTCTTAGCCAGAGGGAGAGAGAGAGAGAGTCTATCTTGCTATCCAACTCTTAGCCAGAGGGGAGAGAGAGAGAGAGTCTATCTTGCTATCCAACTCTTAGCCAGAGTGGAGAGAGGAGAGAGAGAGAGTCTATCTTGCTATCCAACCAGCCAGAGTGGAGAGAGAGAGAGAGTCTATCTTGCTATCCAACTCTTAGCCAGAGTGGAGAGAGAGAGAGAGTCTATCTTGCTATCAACTCTTAGAGAGAGAGAGAGTCTATCTTGCTATCCAACTCTTAGCCAGAGTGGGAGAGAGAGAGAGAGAGTCTATCTTGCTATCCAACTCTTAGCCAGAGGTGGAGAGAGAGAGAGTCTATCTTGCTATCCAACTCTTAGCCAGAGTGGGGAGAGAGAGAGAGAGTCTATCATATCCAACTCTTAGCCAGAGTGGAGAGAGAGAGAGAGTCTATCTTGCTATCCAACTCTTAGCCAGAGTGGAGAGAGAGAGAGTCTATCTTGCTATCCAACTCTTAGCCAGAGTAGAGAGAGAGGGAGAGAGAGAGAGTCTATCTTGCTATCCAACTCTTAGCCAGAGGAGAGAGAGAGAGTCTTGCCTCCATTAGCCAGAGGGGGAGAGAGAGAGAGAGTCTATCATCCAACTCTTAGCCAGAGGAGAGAGAGAGAGAGTCTATCTTGCTATCCAACTCTTAGCAGAGTAGAGAGAGAGAGATCTATGCATATCCAACTCTTAGCCAGAGAGAGAGAGAGAGTCTATCTTGCATCCAATCCAGTCTATCTATCCAAGTTAGAGGGAGAGTGGAGAGAGAGAGAGAGTCTATCTTGCTATCCAACTCTTAGCCAGAGGAGAGAGAGAGAGTCTATCTTGCTATCCAACTCTTAGCCAGAGGGAGAGAGAGAGAGTCTATCTTGCTATCCAACTCTTAGCCAGAGGGGGAGAGAGAGAGAGAGTCTATCATATGTCTTGCTGTCAACTCTTAGCCAGAGGGAGAGAGAGAGAGAGAGTCTGTCTTGCTATCCAACTCTTAGCCAGAGGAGAGAGAGAGAGAGTCTATCTTGCTATCCAACTCCCAGCCAGAGGGGAGAGAGAGAGAGTCTATCTTGCTATCCAACTCTAGAGGAGAGAGAGAGAGACTAGCCAGAGGGGAGAGAGAGAGAGAGTCTATCTTGCTATCCAACTCTTAGCCAGAGGGGAGAGAGAGAGAGAGTCTATCTTGCTATCCGCTCTTAGCCAGAGAGAGGTAGAGAGAGAGAGAGAGTCTATCTTGCTATCAATCCAATCTTGCTATCCAACTCTTAGCCAGAGAGAGAGAGAGAGAGAGCCAGAGTCTATCTTGCTATCCAACTCTTAGCCAGAGTGGAGAGAGAGAGAGAGAGGTCTATCTTGCTATCCAACTCTTAGCCAACTCTTAGGAGAGAGAGAGAGAGTCTATCTTGCTATCCAACTCTTAGCCAGAGGGGAGAGAGAGAGAGAGTCTATCTTGCTATCCAACTCTTAGCCAGAGAGAGAGAGAGAGAGTCTATCTTGCTATCCAACTCTTAGCCAGAGTGGAGAGAGAGGAGAGAGAGAGAGAGAGTCTATCTTGCTATCCAACTCTTAGCCAGAGGAGAGAGAGAGAGAGAGAGTCTATCTTGCTATCCAACTCTTAGCCAGAGGGGAGAGAGAGAGAGAGTCTATATCTTGCTATCCAACCTCTTAGCTATCCAACCTTAGAGAGGGAGAGAGAGAGAGTCTATCTTGCTATCCAACTCTTAGCCAGAGGGAGAGAGAGAGAGTCTATCTTGCTATCCAACTCTTAGCCAGAGTGGAGAGAGAGAGAGAGTCTATTGCTATCTATCTTGCCTATCATATCAACTCTTAGCCAGAGTGGAGAGAGAGAGAGAGAGTCTATCTTGTTATCCAACTCTTAGCCAGAGAGGGAGAGAGAGGGTCTATCTTGCTATCCAACTCTTAGAGAGAGAGAGAGTCTATCTTGCTATCCAACTCTTAGCCAGAGAGGAGAGAGAGAGTCTATCTTCTATATCCACTCTTAGCCAGAGGGGAGAGAGAGAGAGAGTCTATCTTGCTATCTTTATCCAAGTCTCTTAGCCAGAGTGGAGAGAGAGAGAGAGAGTCTATCTTGCTATCCAACTCTTAGCCAGGTGGAGAGAGAGAGAGAGAGTCTATCTTGCTATCCAACCTTTAGCCAGAGAGAGAGAGAGAGTCTATCTTGCTATCCAACTCTTAGCCAGAGAGAGAGAGAGAGAGTCTATCTTGCTATCCAACTCTTAGCCAGGTGGAGGAGAGAGAGAGTCTATCTTGCTATCCAACTCTTAGCCAGAGAGAGAGGAGAGAGAGAGAGAGTCTATCTTGCTATCCAACTCTTAGCCAGAGGGGAGAGAGAGAGAGAGTCTATCTTGCTATCCAACTCTTAGCCAGAGGGGAGAGAGAGAGAGAGTCTATCTTGCTATCCAACTCTTAGCCAGAGGGGAGAGAGAGAGTCTATCTTGCTATCAACCTTAGCCAGAGAGAGAGAGAGAGAGTCTATCTTGCTATCCAACTCTTAGCCAGAGAGAGAGAGAGAGAGTCTATCTTGCTATCCAACTCTTAGCCAGAGGGGAGAGAGAGAGAGAGTCTATCTTGCTATCCAACTCTTAGCCAGAGTGGAGAGAGAGAGAGAGAGTCTATCTTGCTATCCAACTCTTAGCCAGAGTGGAGAGAGAGAGAGAGTCTATCTTGCTATCAACTCTTTAGAGAGAGAGAGAGTCTATCTTGCTATCCAACTCTTTAGCCAGAGAGGAGAGAGAGAGAGAGAGAGATCTTGCTATCCAACTCTTAGCCAGAGGGGAGAGAGAGAGAGTCTATCTTGCTATCCAACTCTTAGCCAGAGTGGAGAGAGAGAGAGAGTCTATCTTGCTATCCAACTCTTAGCCAGAGTAGAGAGAGAGAGTCTATCTTGCTATCCAACTCTTAGCCAGAGGGGAGAGAGAGAGAGAGAGTCTATCTTGCTATCCAACTCTTAGCCAGAGTGGAGAGAGAGAGAGAGAGTCTATCTTGCTATCCAACTCTTAGCCAGAGTGGGGAGAGAGAGAGAGAGTCTATCTTGCTATCCAACTCTTGGAGAGAGAGGGAGAGAGAGAGAGAGAGTCTATCTTGCTATCCAACTCTTAGCCAGAGGGGGAGAGAGAGAGAGTCTATCTTGCTATCCAACTCTTAGCCAGAGGGGAGAGAGAGAGAGAGTCTATCTTGCTATCCAACTCTTAGCCAGAGGGGAGAGAGAGAGAGAGTCTATCTTGCTATCCAACTCTTAGCCAGAGGGAGAGAGAGAGAGAGTCTATCTTGCTGTCAACTGGCCAGAGGAGAGAGAGAGAGTCTATCTTGCTATCCAACTCTTAGCCAGAGTGGAGAGAGAGAGTCTATCTTGCTATCCAACTCTTAGCCAGGAGAGAGAGAGAGTCTATCTTGCTATCAACTCTTAGCCAGAGGGAGAGAGAGAGAGAGTCTATCTTGCTATCCAACTCTTAGCCAGAGGGAGAGAGAGAGAGAGTCTATCTTGCTATCCAACTCTTAGCCAGAGGGAGAGAGAGAGAGAGTCTATCTTGCTATCCAACTCTTAGCCAGAGTAGAGAGAGAGAGTCTATCTTGCTATCCAACTCTTAGCCAGAGTAGAGAGAGAGAGAGTCTATCTTGCTATCCAACTCTTAGCCAGAGAGTCTATCTTGGAGAGAGAGAGAGAGAGAGTCTATCTCTTAGCCAGAGAGAGAGAGAGAGTCTATCTATCCAACTCTTAGCCAGAGGAGAGAGAGAGAGAGTCTATCTTGCTATCCAACTCTTAGCCAGAGTGGAGAGAGAGAGAGTCTATCTTGCTATCCAACTCTTAGCCAGAGAGAGAGAGAGTCTATCTTGCTATCCAACTCTTAGCCAGAGAGGAGAGAGAGAGTCTATCTTGCTATCCAACTCTTAGCCAGAGTGGAGAGAGAGAGAGTCTATCTTGCTATCCAACTCTTAGCCAGAGTGGAGAGAAAGATTCTTGTCTTTTACAAGTGAATGCAACAGACTAAGGTGGAACTGATTTCTTACCATCTTAATAAAATTAGCTTTTCTTTCAAATTTATAAAGATCTTACATATGTAAGCTATCATTCAAACTATGAAGGTCGCCTAAAAATCAGTTAACCCATTTGTATTGAAGAGAAGATTATTGTTATAACTTTTACATCTGGGAAGAGCAAAAAAAACCTGAAAAAAATGAAGGAGATAATTTCTTTAGAAGTTATCGCCTGTTACATTCTCTTTTACCTGAAAAAGTGAGAATTTGCATTGATTCTTTATAACTGGAAAGAAAATTTTATCAATATAATAATATTATTCGATAAATCTTCATTCTTCCTCCATTAATATTATTTGAAAATATCTTTTTCTTTAGTTTAACATAATTATCCTTTTAACATTTTCTCTCATCCATTATTTTTTTTGTTTCTTCTTCAATGAGTTTCAAAACTCAAGAAATAATAAGAAATGATCACATGATAACAGAAACATTCAAACCCTAAATTCAAAACCATTTCAAAGATACAAACTTTGGAGTTTGTCAGCTTTATTTCTTGATAATGACTGAAGTCAGTTAAAAGTTCAGAAACTTAAGCAAAAATGAAGATGAATTGTGGACAGTTCCTTCACACCTTCAACACAGATATGAATCTGCCAACAAGAAGAAATATTAATAAATATGACAGACATAACATGTTTTTTATAATTTATAACAAGGTTTTTTTAATTAACATTTTCTGCCAATATATATATATATATATATATATATATATATATATATATATATATATATATATATATATATATATATATTACTTCAAATGTTATTTTAGTAGATACCTGTATTTGAGTAGAACATCCATTTTTTAAAACCGTGCTTAATTTGTCTACCAGCCTGCACATTTGAGAAAACCTGAATAAAATATGCCCTCTGGCAAGATTTAAACCTGTGGTCACCTGTGGAGGAGAAATCACCATCTGATCTGGTGTACTTTAAAGACCACTTGGCTATGGAAAGCCTAACAGAACATTTTAGTCAAATACAATATCCACTAAAAATAACGTTTTAAGTAATAAAAATATGATGCATTAAAAATAAAAATCTATTAATTTTATATATATATATATATATATATATATGTGTGTGTGTGTGTATATGTGTGTGTGTGTGTGTGTGTGTGTATATATATATATATATATATGATATAAAATGACAATTGTAAATAAAATCTTAGATTTTGCCAACGTGTTTCGTCTTCCGACTTTTTCAAGGCTAAAATGAAATCGAAATGTTTTTTTTGTTATAGTTACATTAAAAAATACAAATTTAAAAAGATAGATGCTTCTGTCTAAGCCTTTTTTTCTGGTTAATGCAAATTACCTTTATAGTAAGGGAATTTTTTTTTTTGAAAAAGTCGGAAGACAAAACGTGTCCACAAAATCTAAGATTTTTTTCCAATTGTCATTTTATACCAATCTGTCTTGTCCACAGAATTGAGCTGAAAATTTATATATATATATATAAATTCAGCTTCATTCATGAGATCTTAGATTGCTGTTTTTCAAACAGAGCTTTACAATACATTTTATATATATATATATATATATACACTCCCACACACAGAGAATAATATATATGTATATATATATATAGCATGACCAGGAAACTTGTCTCTGTCCAAATGTGCTTCTAAAAATAATTGCCTCTTATTCTATTATGTCACTGCATGGTATCAGAGATGGGAGTTAGTATTAAGGCAGTAGGAGGTTAAACCTTCCTGTCAATAATTGATATCTTTTTTTTACCTTTTTACAGTGGTTGTCTTTGAAAAATAATGTATTTCACAAGAAAGGGTATATGAAGTGGAGGTTTTTCATTGAAATCCTTGATGTAGAAAAAAATTGATCCCATTGATATTCATTGTCACTTGCTGAATGTTTACAGAAACCAAACAGTGTATGTGAGCACAGGTGGTGGCTAATGCAGTTCAGCCTTGACAAATTGTGTGACAAGCTATATTCTGTACAGTCCTGCTGTCAAAAAATGCATATCCAATAATTGTTATTGCATAGAAAAATAGTATTTTGTAGCTGAAGTTGAATTTTATTCATTTTTGTTATTGTGCTCCCAGTACGTGTTATAGTTTCTATCAAAATACATAAGTGGTAGGCACATTACTTTTGGTGTTTATCTCATGTGTGTTCTTTTGTGTGTGTGTATATATGCACACATAATCACACAAGTGAAAAGTAAACATGTTGACTTCAGACAGGAAAGCACTGAATCTAAAACTATTCTAAAAAACATGAATCAATATTTATCTATTTTGAAAATCAGGATGCTTAATAATCTGACTCAGAGTCAGTTAATTTTTATACCAATCACTTTGACTTATAATCAGAATGATGAAAATTGACACACTATTACATTAGCTGAATCTGGATACCATATCAAACTTATGTGGCTATTAGTCTATCATATTCCAATCTGGAAAAAAGTAGCAAACTTAAGAAAACAATGTTGAAAATCTAATAAAATTACATAAATAAAAAAAAAATTAAAAAATTAAGATGGGTGGACATCTTGCATCCTCAAAATTATGGTCTAATGTATTTTCTATCACCAGCATGTACAGATGTCATGAAGGGGTGCTGAAAAGATATCGATTCAACCCACTTCCCAAAATCTAACCAAATCCAATAGAGAAGGCTCCTGCTACCAGGGATTTGAACTCCACAGCAGCACTTTCCTCATTGTACTGAAATAGACAGCTTTGACGGAATATATATTCAAAACTTTTTCTCTTGCTCACACACATATATATGGTTGACTATCCCATTGTATTCAACATATGAGGATCAAGCAGCTCAGTTCCTAGGAGCTGACAGCCAGATACCAACACATATGATTTGATTATAGTGATTAAGGCTTTTTGCAGAACCAACCACACTTTTTGAAGGACTGAATACAGACCTAGTACCCTACATGCCACAAAGTCCCCAAACAACCCTCTGCAGGTTTTGAATTCAGACCAGTTGCCATCCAAGGCTACAGAACCCAGTCTCTCCTGCCATTTACCCATAGCTGGAGGGAGAAGAGGATTAATACCCAAGGGTATTAGCATGTAAGTGAATGTAATGAATATGAACTTGGCTCTCCAATTCCTCAATCCAAGCTGCTATTCACTACTCCACCATGCCTCCTATTATCAAACTCATATGTTGAGAAACTTTTTCAACAAATGCCAAAGATTTGTGCTGCAGTAATCGAGGCTAAAGGAGGATATTTTGATGTGAGCAAAATTTAATCATATAATGCTTTTTTCTTTTCATCATAATAAAATTTCCAATAAAAAGATCATGTATCATTTTTTTTAACCATGTATAATAATTTTCTCTAATTTAAAGTACAAAACAACTACTTTTAATTTAAAAAAAATGACCAGGGCTACCCCAAACTTTTGAACTGTAGTGTATATCCAGCTTTACTCATCTATGTACTCTCACTTTATATATATATATATTTTTCACCTTAAACGTCATTTTTAGTGAATGTTCATATCTGGGTTGGTGTTCCGTTTATTTATTAAACAGTAAATTTTCTTTTTTATTTTTGTCTTGAATATTCAAGAAAGAAAAATATGCATCAGGATTTGCGCATGCATCCCTCTCAGTGAGGGAAATCATCGTTTGATCCAATATAGCTTAACTGACTTGGCTACAGACAAACATTGTCAATCAAGCAAAGTCTGAAATATGCTTTTAAACAAAATTGTTGTTGTATAAAATTCCATGAAATTTTTATAGCTGTTCAGTTTTTAAGCTAATAGATTTTTAATTATCATTCTGAGGGATTTTTATCACTTTAAATGACATTTTCAGTGGACGCTCATATTTGAGTAGACACTCCATTTATTTATTAAAAAGTATGTCTAATAAGACTTCTTAAATGTTTCAGGCCAGAAGACAAATATAAATAAATATAAATAATAAATAAATAAATAAATAGAGCATCTTTTCAAATACAAGTATCAACTAAAAATGATGTTTAAAGTGATAAAAATCTGTCGGATTGATAAATCAAAATCCATTGCCATAGTGTTTGAGCCTTTTTTTATTATATTATTACTCTGTCCTGGACACTGAGTTCTACTTGGATTCTATCCTCGTGGAAATTTGTTTATATATATATATATATATATATATATATATATAATAAAAAGGCTTAAACACTAATATTCCATGGTCATTATTTATTCCATTGGAATCGTAAATATGATCCAATTCATCAGATCTACAAATTCAAAATATATATATATATATATAGGCACATGGTTAGACTATGGGACTCATGTTCGAATCTTACCAGGGTCAATTTATCAGGAAGGAG